TGGTCGATGTTGAGGTCTTAATCTCTGTCTGGATTTCTCTTTGTTTGGTCCTATCATTAACGGTTAGAGAGCCATGCCCAAATGCTTTTCCCAGCTATTATTGTCCTCCTAGTTGCCATGTTCCACTAGATCCTACGGGCACTAACATTACACCAGTTGACCCAGTAAGAAAGCGAATCTACATGGCTAGTCCAAAATATATACATATGAAAGTGTACAAGTTATTAAAGCGTAGGCGGCCTAATGAGGATGTCGTAGAATGAGAACAAAGACAGATATATGAAGGAAATTAGAAACTGATTGGTTGTGGCTGTCATTCCTGCTGGCTACAGATGCAACAATCGTAAAAGCAGAATATGCAAAGAGGTTGTTAGTATGCATTTAGTAGAGTTATGATTTACGGCATACATCCATAGTTTATCGACAGAAATACATTTACAGCGTTATTGTCATCACTGTTAATGAGTTAATCTTTGAATATCTAGGTGGAAGATTTTCCTCTTGAGAAATAGTAGGTATAAAGAGTTGTCTATTGAAGGTTATTTGCATTATTATTATTATTATTAGTCCCTTGGGTTCCTAGTGGAACATAGGGCTTCAGTAGCACGCCTCCAGTGACCTCTGTTCTCTGAGATCTTTTGAACCTGGTCCCACGACAGCCCAGAAGCTCTCATTTCCTCCTCGCACGACCTCCTCCATGTCACCCTCGGACGTCCAACTCGTCGCTTCCCATGAGGATTCCACTCGAGCAACTGGCCTGACGCGTGATGTCCTCAGTCGGCCTTCTCAGTGCATGGCCAATCCATCTCCACTTCTTCCTGCATATTTGTTGCGTGATAGGTTCTTGGTTGGTTCGTTCCCAGAGTTCCTTGTTGCTTATTCTTTCTGACCATCTGATCTTCAGCAGCGAGCGTAAGCAGTTGTTGATGAATGTCTGTAGTTTATTGGAAATACCTTTCGTGACGCGCCAAGTCTCTGAACCATACAAGAGCACTGACTTGACGTTGGTGTTGAAAATCCGTATCTTGTTCCGCATGCTGAGTGCAGAAGATCTCCACACTGGTTTCAGGCTAATAAACGCCTGTCTTGCTTTTCCGATTCTGACTTTGACGTCCTCGTCCGTCCCGCCTGTAGTTGAAACAGTGCTTCCTAGATAAGTGAAGGAGGTTACTTCCTTCAAGTTTCTCCCGTTGACGGTGATTGGAGTTTGTTGTTGTTGATGGTGGTGGTGCGGTATCTTCATCACTTTTGTCTTCTCTATATTCACCTGAAGTCCCGTCTTCGCTGCCTCTTCTATCAACTTGTTAGTTTTTGCCTGCAGATCTTCAAGTTTATGTGACATCAGGCACAAGTCATCGGCGAAATCCAAGTCTTCTAGGTTCTTTTCCGTCGTCCAGTGTATCCCCCTCTTCTCGCTGCCTACTGTTTGCTGCATGATCCAGTCCACCACAATCAGGAATATCATGGGGGATAGTAGGCAACCTTGTTTCACTCCTGTCTTCACTTCAAAGGCATCACTGAGCTTCCGATTGTGATTACTTGGCATGTAGCATCTTCATATAGTTGTTGAATGAGGCGGATAAAGGTTTGCGGTACTCCGTAGTATTGAAGCAGTTTCCAAATTACTTCTCGGTCGACGCTGTCAAAGGCCTTCTCAAAGTCGATGAAGTTGAGGTAGAGAGCTGATTGCCATTCTATGCTCTGTTCTATGATGATACGAAGCGTTGCAATTTGGTCGCACATGATTTGTACTTCCTGAAGCCTGCCTGTTCCGGTCGCAGTTTTGAATCCAGTGCGTCTTTAAGCCTCTCTAGGATGATGCGGCTTAATATTTTACTTGGGGTGGACAGGAGAGTGATTCCGCGCCAGTTCTTGCAAGCACTGAGGTCTCCCTTCTTCGGCAGTTTGACAAGGTAACCCTTCTTCCAATCGTCAGGTACCTTCTCTTCCTTCCACACCTTCTGCAATAGTGGTGTGAGCATGTCCGCTGTTGTCTCTGCATCTGTTCTCAGTGCTTCTGGCGGTATTCCATCTGGTCCTGCTGCTTTCCCGCATTTCAGTAGCTTTATGGCGTTCAGGACTTCCATTTTCGTTGGGGATTTATGTTCACTTGTAGTTCAGCGGCTGCAGGTGGTATTTCTGGACGAAGTGCAGGTTGTGGTGGTGGTCGATTCAAGAGCTTCTTGAAGTGGTCGGCCCATCGTTTCCTCTGTTTCTCTTCTTTTGTAATTAAATTTCCTTCTTCATCTTTTATTGGTTTCATCTGTGTTGGTCTCTTCCCTGATAGCAACCTGGTTATTTGATACAATGTCGTCAGGTCTCTCTTACCTGCAGCCTGTTCTGCTTCACTTGCCAGTGTTTCGTAGAAGTGTCTTTTGTCTTTGCGTGCACTCTTCTTCACTTCTTTGTCCAGTGTTTTATACATTGTGCTCAGTTCCTCTTGTCGTTGAGCATCCTTGCACTGGTTTATCTTCTGCTTCACCATCCTCCTCTCCTCTATCAGCTTCCAGGTATCCGTCGAGATCCATTCCTTGTCTTCTTTCTTCTTCCTTCCTAATACTGTTGTGCAGGTTTCTTTCCACATAGCTTTCAAAGACTTCCAGTGTTCTTCCACACAGGTTTCTTCAGGGATGTTGCTCGATGTCTCCCATTTTGTCTTGATGGCTGCCTTGAAGATCTCCTTTGTAGTTTCATCCTTCAGTTTCCGAGTGTTGTACTTGAATTGAGGTCTATCACCAGCTTCCTTGAAGGCTTTTAACTTGATTTCGAAGGTTCCTTGCACTAGATAGTGGTCTGAACCTACATCTGCTCCTCTTCTTGACCTTGTGTTAAGTAGACTGCGTCTCCATTTTCTTGAGATTGAGATAAAGTCGATTTGATTTTTAGTGTGTCCATCTGGTGAAATCCATGTCGCTTTGTGGATATCTTTGTGCCTGAACACACTGCCTCCAATCACCAAATCGTTGAATGCACAGAATTCTGCAAACAATTCTCCATTCTCATTCATCATTCACCGAGCGCTCTCGACCCATGGTTAGTTCTCTTCCCGTGTTGTCCCCTCTCAGTTTGGCATTCATGTCGCCCATTAGAATTTTGATATCGCCAACTGACGTCTTGTCCAGTGTTGATTGAAGTTGTCTGTAGAAATCCTCCTTTTTCTCCTGCTCTGCATTATTTGTAGGTGCATAACATTGTATGATTGTGACCTTTCTTCCTTTTGAGTTGAATCTTGCTGTCATGATCCTGGAGGAGATTGGTTCCCACTGCATGAGAGCCTTCGATGCTCTTGAGGACATCATGATAGCCACTCCCTCAGTGTGCTCGTGGTTGTCGTCTGGGTGACCGGAGTAGATTATTGACTCTATTGTTGACAGTTTGGAGAGTCCACTCCCATTCCATCTGCTTTCGCAAATCCCAAGCACTTCGATGTTATACCTTCTCATCTCGTTTGCAATCTGGGCTGCCTTACTGGGTTCAAACATGGTGCGGACATTCCATGTCCCCACGTTTACTTTCGCTTTCATCGAGGGAGAGAAGACACATCGGCCAATTGGCTTCCCGAAGGCTTTCACCAACTGGCGTCATTTCGCCTCTCCGATTCCAGCGGGGAATAAGTTTGTTTTCATTTTTTATATTTTGTTTGTGCTTTGAAGTTTCTTTAGCGGTTAGATTTGTTTTACGGGGTAGGGTTGCTAGCCCTATGCCCAACCTTCCCTCTTTACCCGGACTTAGGACCGGCTAGTAACTAGTGAACTAGTTAACCAGGCGAGGTTATTGAAGGTTATTTGCATACAACACCAAAATACAATGCATCAATCACCTTATCCATCACTATGCCTAGCTAATCGATAGACTTCTATCGGTGCTGAACACTTTGAACTTGACAATTCATGTGCATAGAATCAGCTGTAACCTGAATAGCTGGCTAAGTGGTAAATTCTTTCACTGTGATACTGAACAATACCTATTTGGGTCATGCAAGTAACACTAGTTTCCTTATGGTTTCAAATCCACCTACCTTACCATAAGCGCTAACAACTAGCATGAAATCTAGGCTAAACAGGGCTGTTTGTCGGCAAAATTTTAGAACATAACATCAAAAATTGTATTTGATAAAGCTGTTTCACTTTTTCATAACTGTTTCCAGATCAATACAACTTGACAAGCTGACTACCAAAGAATAACTTCATCCAGACGAAAACTACTAAAATTTAATAATGATTGTAATTTCAGGTTTGTATTCATCGTGAACTGATATCACTTGGAGGAGCATTGGTAACCTGGGGGCATTGGACATTTGTTTCGTCCTCAGAAGTGCGCACCCATGACGCCGCCCTCCAGGAGTAAGACTCAGGACCTTCAGGTTTCGTGGCTAGCACCTTACGATTGAGTCACCGAGTAGGAATCCAGCGATCCACATTTCCTACCTCCACCCAATACTGTGGTTGAGTAACTGTTTTCACCTCCGACATGACTTGCCCCCTTGGTCATGATTTCTCATTACAACGTGGGGAATCACATCTCGAAACAAGTCGCCAATGAGCACTAGATTAATTCAATTCGGAGGTTTATGTAGATTTATTTATTGATTTCAGGTTGGTACATTTATCATGGACTGACGCCAGTTGGAGAAACATAGGAAATCTGAGAGCAGCTGCTTCGTCCTAGTATAGGACTCCTGAGCAGTACGTGATCCTTGGCGAGGTCATTTGTTCGCACTGCTAAAGAGTCGTATACTAGTACAAAACAGCTGTACAGTGCTCTCAGGTTTCCAATGCTTCTTCAGCCTCCGAATTGAATAATAAGGATAATGTTTGATGTAATATTAGAGTTACCTTACCAAGTTGTTCAGTAAGTTTTCCAACGTCAGGCCAAAGTGTATAGTCTACAGACAATTTTACTTTTGTGTGTTTATAGCTTATAACTGAGGAAAACATCTGTTTGTTTATTTGTCATTGTTTCTTATTCAAATTTGATTTGTTTAACTGTTTCATGCATAGATGTTGCTCGATGGTGGCAAAGTTGTGATCGACTTCAGCGCTTACTTGGCAAGACAACTGCATTAACCAGCAATAATAATAATAATAATCAGATATCATCACAGACAACAAATCAAAACCAATTGACTCATACTAGTTGTCTACAATCGAATTCTGGGATGATTAGACCACGTTTAGACATTGATCGACCAGACAAAATTGGTAGGTGATTATGCTTAGTACACTTCTCTTTTTTTCGATTGATGTCGTTGTTATTACTTGCTGCCTCATTGTTTTGTTATCCTATGATTTCTGATGGATTTTTCAATAGTCTATTCTCGTTTAGGGGACTATGTGATTTTCGAGATGAATGAAGATTTTAATTTTGAGGTAAAATTCATCACAAACTGACATCTGTTAGGGAACCATTAAAATGGGTTTGCAGTGAAACCTGAAGGTCGTGGGTGCGTACTGCTGAGGAGTCCCACGTTAGGACGAAACAGGGCTGTTCAATAGTTCCCTAACTGATGTCAGTTCGTGATGACTTTTTTCTAATTCTTATTGTGCTTGTAAAAGTGTTCACTTTCATTTTTGATGTTATTGACTGAAAGTAATCATTGTTGTCCCCCGTGTGTTAATTATAGACTTGATTTCATTGGTTGTCAGAATGTATATGAAATTAAATTAGCTGTGCAATGAGCATATTTTAATGCAACTTGATAATCACTTATAGGTTTGTATACTGGAGACTGTCAGTTGCACTCAATGATTGCCTCAACCTGACTGACTGACTGCGATAAAGTCAACGTAGAAGCCTTCACACAAAGAACAGATGGATAGAAGACTGATATCAAGGTAGACAAAGTCGTGTGAGAGAATAAACAATCTGAAGATAAAGGTTAGTGTGAATATTCAAGTTATGGCAGATATCAAGGAACGAATACGTCTGTGCCATTGTGACCGACTTCCAACTATGTCACCAAGACTTCTGAGGCACTAATTCCTATCATCTCGAGGACCCCAGCCAGACAGTCCACATTTCCCTACACGGATCAGGCCAACAACGAGAGACTTTATGGACTGGTGTCACGTCTTAATCTGGCTATCCTGAACCCTCTTTCAACCTAATCCAGCTTCCTGAAACATGGGACGTCGAGGCACGGGATGACTCGGCATGGGCAGTACATGTCCAAGCTATCTCAGTCAATGAACGTCCATAACCTCATCAATCGACTTACCTGTCTTACCTAGTAGCCTTCCCTTGACCTTAACATTGCTCCTATGGTGATTCCACCAAACGCGAGCAATGCTACGAAGACACCTGTGATCAAAACCCTGTATTCACTTCATTTCTTTTAACGGCCATGTCTCACAGTCGTAGAATAGGACAAAACGAACTACAGTGTAGTACTCATCTTTTGATAGTTAGTCGGATATCTCGGCAGTCGGCGCCACAGATGATGCAAGTTGGCAAATGCTAAATGAGCCTTCTGTATCCGAGTAAATGAAGTATAGTTTCAGTTAGTATACACCTCTTGGTAAAAACTCTTCCCTACCTAAAGTTATAAGCTATTTAGAAGTTCTGAGTAATTTGATTGATTTCAAGGTGGGTTTCCATCACTGATTGACACCAGTCAACGAAATAAATATGAACACCGAATAGTTGTTTCGTCCTAATCCGAGACTCGTCAGGGTTGCACACGCAGAACCTCATGAGTGATCAAACCACACGAGCTGACGAGCTACACGCTTTCAACAAACAACTCCAACCGTCAAACAATATACAACTGACACAGGAGAATAAGTGGATTACACATGAACTAGCATCAATGTGTCCATCTCAAGCACAACACGAATAACGCATTGACAATCTGCGTTTTTCTTGACTTAACTAAATAGAGACTTGCGCACTTATCTTTGAGGTACACCTATCCAATTGCCGAAACCTCGATTAGTAAAGTGGGGAATTTTCCCTATGATCTATTTGTTTAAAGCTGAGTCGTGTACTGAATGAATGATCCACAACACCAGATCCCATTGTAGGAGTTGTATCGTTTATTAATGAGCAATCTACTTTGGTCTGTTTAGCTATATAAATTTGTTAACTGTCATATTATAATGGTACAGTAAATGAAGTTGTTCGTGTTTTCTTGGTTTCATTCAGTTAAAATATGTCTGTATAAGACGTGAACAGTGATTTTCATTGTGAAGCAATTGTGGATCTGTCATCTTTCACTCAGCAAAACTAATGAATGAATAGAGTAAGAGTAGAGTAGTTTACTGTTAAGTGTTTATAGATAAAGATATGAGCCTTTACTCATTGGAGTGGTTTAAAAATGTGTTGCATGTGACAAGGCAACACCTGCCTCGACGTATAGTGTTAACCGAAATTAGATTAGGTTAGAAGAAAGCTAAGGATATTTAAACTAAGAAGTGGCACCAGTCTATGAAGTTTTCGACTGTTGGTCAAAGCCATGTAGGAAGGTGTAGAGGATCTGGTTGAAGTCTGCAAATAGACAGGCAAGGTCAATATAGAACCTAGCATCACTGCTGAAGTAACCGACTAGATAATAATAAATGCGCTAACAATGCTATCGCAATGAGACACTTTCAATAGATTCGAATACCAAATGTTGTCCCTCAGTACCACCTTATACTTCACTGAGCCAAGAAAATCAGAAAATAAAGACTGGCATGTAACTAAAAAAAACTTTATTCAAAAAAATACATCACTTATATACCGTTTTTATCAACAAATAAAACCACTAGGTCATGAGTTGGATACTTATTTTGGTTGAACAACTGTAGGATGAAACTGTCCAATAAGGTATTTCCTGAGTACACAGTAACATGAGATGAAAGTTGGGATCCAAAACGTCTACTTTAGTGGCTAATGACGTGAACTATTGATTTCGATTTAGAATGCTTCCTATCAACTGCTTAGTGGTTCCAGTTGCCACACATCATATCAGTACATCAAGTGAGAAAACATTGGGATGAAAGATAAGGAAGAAAATGGTCAGATATGGTAAAAGGAGAAGGAGGCATTCAGCATGGTGACTGAGATGAGGATACTGAGTCGTTGTGAACGATTCTGAACTATATCACCTGGAGTGTCCAACCATTGGTTTTAGGCCTTGGAGATAATTAGAATTAGCGGTTGGTGACAACAGCGCATGCAGATGTACACACTTGTTATCATTCTTGAAGTGTTAAATATTTTAATTAACTTTCATATATTCATTCTGTGTCGTCTCGTATTCTTTTGTTATACTAATATCAACAAAATCACTCTTTCTTTGCATAATTCTGTTAAGTATGGCAAATTGAACTGGTTCCCTTCACTGTTCCACGTCCTACATTGATTTGTCTGTCTGTCTATATACTAATGAAAAATACCATAGATTCAGAGGGATGTTAACATGAAATTATAAAGAAACGACAAGACCTTTCATCGAAAAATGTCTGTGTTTTTGATAGTATCATCGTCTAAAACTGTAAAATCATATTCATACTTGTGATGAACAGATAACACTCTGTTATTGACTGATACACTGGAGGTACGTCGCAAAGTGAAGCTTATGAGAAATTGTGTAGTAATCCAGTCAACTCTACCTCAACTTCATCGACTTTGAAAAGGCCTTCGATAGCGTCGACCGAGGAGTAATTTGGCAGCTGCTGCTTCACCACTACGGTTTTAGTGCCACAAATCTTTATCAACCTCATTCAAACAGCAGCTATATGACGACGCCACATGCCAAGTGATTCACAACACAATGGAAAGCTCAGTGATGCCTTTGAAGTGAAGATAGGAGTAAGACAAGTTTGCCGCGTACTATCACCGATGATGATCTTCCTGATTGTGGTGAACTGTACTGGATCATGCAAGAAACAACTGTGAGGAGCTGTGATAAGATGGGCATACAGTGGCTGTTTGACCAATGAAAAGACTCTAGAAGATTAGGATTTCGCCAACGATGATGATTTATGTCTGGTGTTTTGTGGCACAAACTCGAAGATCTACAGGCAAAAAGCAAGAGGTTGGCGGAAGAGGCAGAGCATCGAAGACGGTACTTCAAGTGAGTGTAGAGGGGACAGAGGTGATGAAGATACCCAACCGACCAATAACAACAACAAGCACCAATCACTATGAACGGGAGAAGTGTAAAGGAAGTAGTTTCTTACCCCTACCTACCTACCTACCCACCTACCTACCTACCTGCCTACCTACCTACCTACCTACCTACCTACCTACCTACCTACTTACCTAGCTAGGCAGCATCATTTTAACTACAGGCGGCATAGACATATATGACGATGTCAAAGCCAGCCAGGATCGGATAGACAGCGAGACAGGCCTTCCTTCATTAATGTGAAATCAGTGTGGAGATCTACTGCACTCAGCATAAAACGTGAACGAGATCCGGATTTTCAACACTAATCTCAGTCAAGTAAGTCAGTGCTTCTGTGTGATGGTTGAGAGAGTTGATGCATTACGAAAAGCATTTCCAACAGACTACAGACACTCACCAACAGCTGCCTACTCTTGCTGGTGAAGGTGGAGATGAGATGAGATGGTCCGAAGGAGTAAGCAAGAAGGAGCCCTATCCTGGTAATGAACCAACGAAGAAGGTGTCGCCCAAGAAATATGTAGTAGATGAAAGTGGAGATGGATTGAATTGGATTGGATTGGGCATATACTGAGAAGACCATTTGAGGATATGACGTGCCAGGCGACGTTGTCGAGTGGAATCCAAGTGGTAGATGACTAGTTGGGCGTCGGAGGCGAGGGTGACATGGAGGAGATGATGTGAGGAAGAAATGGAAGTTTGTGGGTAATCATGGAGCCATGTTTTGAGGACTGGAGAGGAGAGAGTGAAATGGTGACGTTCTAATGAATCTCTATGCTCCACTAGAAACCCAAGAGACAAATTATAAAAATAATCCATGAGGTGAGAAAAAGGATAAGAAATATATGATATTGAACAAAGTTGGAATTGATCATTCACTTAAAGAAATGAAAAAATCAGCATGTTTCATATCGAAGTTGATAATTATGAATCACTGATAAAGAGATGAGTAGTTAGATGTATGAAATAAATCTTGTAATCCATAATCAAATCACAATCACGCTGAACAACCTTGTACACATTCGTGCCACATCTATTGTGTAAGGGTTAATGATGCCAATTGGCTATAGAAACCTCAGTAGGTGGAGCCGTGTTCGAACCTATTACTTATTGGTTTCATCATACCCTCCACCTCCCATTTTCCAGCTTCATTAAGGAAGTCACAAATATTATTAAGGCTGAAAGAAATACGTCACACAAAATGATATTAAAGCATTCCGAAGAAAGATTGAAGTGTAACCAGTGTTAGCAGGATGAAAATTGAGAACTTATCATACACACAAGCATATTCTAAGAAATCTTTTTTACCCATTAGTTTGTGTTATTGTTCACATGAGGCATTCGTGACTCTGCTTTCATTGTTGCATTATGTTCGAAAAATGATTCGAGCTGCAAAGATTATGTATGTATGTTAAGTTTTCTTTTTTTAACTTCAACTTAACCAGTTGTAATTCACGCGTTCTTATTCAATGACAACCTGAAATAAATATATATCATCTTTTAAGCTATCCATCGATGTGTTGATTTCAGATATATGTTACTTTGAATAAATGTCTATAAAAGGAACAATGACTTTAATGTCATATATGTATTTTTTAAAAATTTAAAAGTTACCTACCACCAGGTTACCAGCCCAGGGCTATACCTACTGATAATCAATATGATGCTCCCCCTCTCCAATTCAGTTAGATTTGGATTTCGGTGGTTCGAATATGGCCGCTGTCCATATTTTCATTTCACCCTCAATCATCACCCAGTATCAATACTAGTCTGGCAAACCACAGCTATCTCAGATTGTCAAAATGATTATGTTTATGTAATCACATTGTCATCCTGCTACATGTGACCAATCAAAAAATGGGATCGAAAGTACTATGTAGGTGTATAGAATGAGTTATTAGTGTAAATATAAGATCGAAATTTTTTGCTTGCATGGGTTTAAGGTTGAGCCGATTTGGATCAAGTAGTAAACTTGTGAAGATGAAATAAGAATTGATTGTCAAAGGTGGATGGAAATACGAAATTTTGGAAAGGGCTATAATTCACTTACGAGGAGGTAGAAAATGAACAAGGAGAACTACCTATGTTGTATTGCAGAGTAAACGGAAGAACAGGTGGTGGTTTGGATACTTCTGTCTACAGGAAACCGAAACATTGTAACAAGTATGTGGACTTCAGGTCATCTCATCCAATTTCAGTCAGTCAGTGAAGACAGGTGTTGTAGTCAAATGTCTAAATGATAGAGCTAGAAAACTGACTAGTCAGTGCAAAGACCTAAACAAGGGAGTGAAGCTCGCAAAAGAATCGCTAATGGTTAATAATTATCCTCCACAGTTCATGAAGAAATTCGTATGAACACCCAAGAAATGAAGTAACTGCAGTAATACGAATGCAAATAATAGCGACAAAACGAGTAGAAAGGAGTTCAAAGCCTCCATTGTGTTACACTGTAATGAAGGAACATCAGAAATCTTACGTTGGATTCTCAGCGAGACTGAGGGTGGCATTTAAACCCACAAAGTCACTCAGGGATAAACTTCGTCGACTGGCTTGGGCGATCCGATATATCCAATTAAGCAAAATAATCTGGCCTACCAAATTTCATGCAATGACTGTGAGTGAGGTTAAGTACATAGATGAAACTAGCCAGTCGGAGTCAGTTAGATTATCCGAACATGGGAATTTAGGTAGATATAGAATAAGAGAATGTGATGAGATCAATAATTTGGAAGGAACTCGTCTACTGCAATGCATGGATTAACACACAACCAGACAATGAGGTGGGTGGGATGAAACCACTGTACTCATGTCCGATATAATTAGGTGGAGAGAGAGAGAGAGAGGGTGAGATTGATTACTGAATGTTTGTTCATCGAATCAACCAACACCCAACAGATGTAATAGGAATCACGTAACACCTAGACGAGAGATATGCAAAATTTTACTACTGCCATTAAAATCGAAGACTATGAGGTGGTTGGTGGAACTATAAGAATCAGATGTCGAGAGTTGTGTGATTACATTGACATGATTATGAACAGAGATAATTTCTGCTCCAAACGTTATTAAGTCAGTAATTCTTCGGGACTTTGTGCCGTATCAAATAAACGAATCTAAGATAGTTGAAACCCATGAATTTAAGCAAATTTTACTTTATTTGAAAATTCTTTCCACCTTCGATTGCGACTATTTGAGAGTAACAAACAACCGTCTCTATGTTTTTCATAACTCGTCACTAGTACACTATGATGACCCTGCAAGAAACTAACCTGGGGATCAGCACGTTTTACACAGATCACTTTAATATTGAGCCGGTACGTTTGAATTCACTAGTGCCTACTCTCATCTTGAGCCATTTACCATGATTCTCAAGTTGGTCGACCTTACAGATGGTGATTTTTCATTAAACTAGTGGGAAACACCTCATTACTAATGAGTCCTAGCTAGTTTTTCTGTTATCCTCTTTATTTTTTACTTTTTGCACTAAAAAGATTACTCCTTTATTGAAAAGAGACTGACAGCGAAGAAAGATGTAATCCTTTTCAATTAGATCTTCGTCTTGGACTCTACACTATTGCATACAGGTTAATAATTCAATCAAAATACCAATCAAGTGGTGATCGGAGGTTGATAAACAATATTTACAGAGATTGTAAGTAAGTCATGGAGATGATAAGTTTGAGAAATCAACAGAGTAATTAAAATTGGTAATATGAAGCAGGCTATAATTATGTAAATTACATAGTAATTGGTTAGGTAAGTGGAGCGCTTTTTCTTTCAAGTGTTCAGTCATAAACAATAAATAATTACGTGATAAAAAGAAAACAAATGAATATTGATCGAAGCAATGGGAGGGGGGAGGAGGCGAGAGGAAGAAGTGTACAAAGTAATACTAAAAGTTGCATCATGTTGACGGTCACGGTAATGAGTGGTTGAACAAACTTCTTTTGAATACAAAGGTTACGTTTGTTTGTAAAGGTGGATTGCAATCGCCTCTGCTATGTGAAGTAAGCGAATGCGTAATTCATATGGTAAGTTAGTCGGTATACGATGAATAATTTTGAAAGCTTTTCTAGTATCCACTTGATGTCCGGCATCAACTGAATGTGCAATTATGGAGCTCTTCATTGTTGTAATTTGTCCCTTGGCCAACCAGGATGGTCGGTGCTGAGAAATTCGACGATAGACCTGCCTCATTTTATGCCCAAGGTTACTAGCTCCAGACGACTAGTTAAACTGATAAATGCACATGGAGGTGGCAGAATTAGGTAGTTTGTCTTTATTTCTCTTCACCTAGAATCTGGTGGTTGTAGATGAGACATAATTTAGCGGCTGAGTATGCTTTTTGCAAGGCTCTTTGTGCTATATGATGATATCACTAGCAATGTCACTGTTAAATTTCAGCTTCAAGAAGATTCGCTTCTTAGGAACTGTTGATGTTCTTGTCTTAACCTTTGTTACTATTCATATGCTTAGTTACAAACTTCATTGGACGACCGTTTCTACTAAGTATGTCATGTATGGTGGCGAACTCTTCCTCTATACCATTATCAGAGCAAATAGCTGTAGTGCGGTATACTAGACATTTTACCAGGTTCTTTTTATATTGGAGGTGTAGGCCACTAAAGAAGTGTATGTACTGACCTGTCGATGTTGGCTTTCTATATACACTTCGTTTCAGAGTTCCATCGAACTTTCTTACCAACAGAACATCAAGAAATAAGATAGTGTCATTCTGCAGCTCTTCTATTGTGAAGTTGATCACCGGATAAACTCTGCTGAACTTATTAAGAACAGTATTCTTGAGAACAATAAACCGGCTAAGTAGTTTTGTTCAGCGGGCGGACCATTCTATAGCCATATACTTTTTCGCTCAGTCAGTCTTTTTTCTAAATGTCTAGATGGGAATTACTCCTTTCCTTAAAATGATTTTGATCATTAGGTATGACACCTTTAATGATTGCAGCTGAGGCTGGTTCAAGTGGTTTGAATATGGCTATCGCTTTAATGAATGCTGGTTCAAATATATCATTAACTGATAAAGTCGGTATGACTGCGTTACATCATGCATGTTATGTTGGATCATTCAATATGGTGCGTTATCTTATGGAACGTGTTCAACCAATAATGTGTTGTAATTTAACTACTACATCAGCTATGAAGATAAACACTGGATCAAATGCACGATTATCATGTTTATCCACTAATTCACCTGGCTTAATATCTCCTACTAGTAATAATAATAATACTCAGTTGCCGCTACCGCCAAGTCGTCTTTCAAATCCTGAATTGTTAAATGTCCAGGTTAGTCAAAATATTATTGAGAATAACTGTAATTCAGTTGTACAGAAAAACTCCTGATAGGCTCAAAACCAATAGTCTTGTGCCTATTACTGGCTCTGTTGGTTTGCTAAGAGTTGATGGCCTCATGAATGAAGAGGAGGGTTGAAAATACACTCGACTCTAGAGAGTATTGAACTGTCAAAATTACTGTCGCCAGTATTTCATACTCATCCACTTAACTGTAGAGCAACCTCGCTTAAGTAACTAGTTCACTAGTTAATAGACGGTTCTAACCCCGGATAAAGAGGGAAGGTTGGGCATAGGGCTAACAACCCTACCCCGTTAAACCAATCCAACCGCTAAACAAACTTCAAAGCACAAAGAAAATATAAAAAATAAAAACCAACTTAATCCTTGCTGGAATCAGAGAGACTAAATGACGCCGGTTGGTGAAAGCCTTCGGAAGCCAGTCGGCCGATGTGTTTCCTCTCGATGAAGGCGAAAGTAAACGTGGGGACATGGAATGTTCGCACCATGTTTGAACCTACCAAGGCTGCCCAGATCGCAAAAGAGATGAGGAGACATGGCATGGAAGTGCTTGGAATCTGCGAAAGCAGATGGAATGGAAGTGGACTCTCCAAACTGTCAACAATAGAGTCAATAATCTACTCCGATATTGTCACCCAGACGACAACCACGAGCACACTGAGTTTTGGAGTGGCTATCATGATTTCCCCAAGAACATCGAAGGCTCTCATGCAGTGGGAATCAATCTCCTCCAGGATCATAACAGCAAAATTCAACTCAAAAGGGAGGAAAGTCACAATCATTCAATGCTACGCGCCAACAAATAATGCAGATGAAGAGAAGAAGGAGGAATTCTGCAGACAACTGCAGTCAGTACTAGAAAAGACTTTAGTTGGTGACACGAATGCCAAACTGGGAGCGGATAACACAGAAAAAGAACTCATCATGGGTAGAGACGCACTTGGTGAAATAAACGAGAATGGAAAGCTGTTTGCAGACTTCTGCACATTTAATGATTGGTGGTGATTGGAGGCAGTGTGTACAAACAAAAGGATATTCACAAAGCGCGCGACATGGGTTTCACCAGATGGATACACTACACTTAAAATCAGATCGACTTCATCTCAATGTGAAGAGAGTGGAGATGCAGCCTACTGGACACAAGATCAGATCAAGAAGGGGAGTAGATGTAGGTTCACACCAGTCACTATCTAGTGCAAGGAACCCAACTTTCAAAACAAGTTGAAAGCCTTCAAAGAAGTTGATGATAGACCACAGTTCAAGTTGAATACCCAGAACAGAAACTGCAGGATAAAACTACACGTCAACCATCAGAACAAAATGGGAGATATTGAGCAACATCCGTGAAGAAACCTGCATAACTGTATTAGGAAGGAAGAAGAAAAGAAATGAATCTCGATGGACACATGGAAGCTGATAGAGGAGATGAAGATGGTGAAGCAGAAGATGAACCAGTGAAGTGCAGGGATGAATAACGAAAAGAGGAACTGACTACAACTTATATAACACTACCCTGGACAAAGAAGTGAAGAAGAGTGCGTGCAAAGACAAAGAGACTTCTAAGACACACTTGCAAGTGAAGCAGAACAGGCTGCAGGTACCAGAGATAGAGGCCTGACAACACTATATCAAATAACCAGGTAACTATCTGAGAAGAGATCAACTCAGATGAAACCAAGGAAAGATTAGCGAAAGAAACTTAGTTACCGAAGAGGAAAAACAAAGGAGACGATGGGCTGGCCACTTCAGAAAACTCTTGAATCGACCACCACGACGTGCAACTCGTCCAGAAATACCACCAGCAGCCCAGCCACAGAACTATTAGTTAACACAAACCATCCGACAAAAGCAGAAGTGAAGTCCTGAACATCATCAAGTTGCTGGAATTCGGGAAAGCAGCAGGACCAGATAAAACTCAGCCAGAAGCACTGAAAACAGACCCAGAGACAACAGAGAACATGCTCATACCACACCACTATTGCAGAAGGTTTGGAAGGAAGGAAGGGAAGGTACCTGCCTATTGATTGGAAGAAGGGCTACCTTATGAAACTTCCAATGTAGGGTGACCTAAGTCCTTCCAAGAACTGGTGAGGAATCATGCTGCTGTCCACCCCAAGCAAAATATTAAGTCTCATCATTCTAGAGAGACTAAAAGATGCGCTGGGTTCAAAATTACGACCGGAACAGGCTGGGTGTATTCAGAAAAAAATATGTGGGTCAAATTGCAACGCTACGCTACGCATCATCATAGAACAGAGAGTCGAATGGCAGTCAACTCTACCTCAACTTCATCAACTTTGAAAAGGCCTTCGATAGCGTCGACCGAGGAGTAATTTGGCAGCTGCTGCTTCAACACTATGGTTTTAGTGCCACAAATCTTTATCAACCTCATTCAAACAGCAAATATATGACGACGCCACATGCCAAGTGATTCACAACACAATGGAAAGCTCAGTGATGCCTTTGAAGTGAAGATAGGAGTAAGACAAGTTTGCCGCGTACTATCACCGATGATGATCTTCCTGATTGTGGTGAACTGTACTGGATCATGCAAGAAATAACTGTGAGGAGCTGTGATAAGATGGGCATACAGTGGCTGTTTGACCAATGAAAAGACTCTAGAAGATTAGGATTTCGCCAACGATGATGATTTATGTCTGGTGTTTTGTGGCACAAACTCGAAGATCTACAGGCAAAAACCAAGAGGTTGACGGAAGAGGCAGAGCATCGAAGACGGTACTTCAAGTGAGTGTAGAGAGGACAGAGGTGATGAAGATACCCAACCGACCAATAACAACAACAAGCACCAATCACTATGAACGGGAGAAGTGTAAAGGAAGTAGTTTCTTACCCCTACCTACCTACCTACCTACCTACCTACCTACCTACCTACCTACCTACCTACCTACCTACCTACCTACCTACCTACCTACCTACCTACCTACCTACCTACCTACCTACCTACCTACCTACCTACCTACCTACCTACCTACCTACCTACCTACCTACCTACCTACCTACCTACCTACCTACCTACCTACCTACCTACCTACCTACCTACCTACCTACCTACCTACCTACCTACCTACCTACCTACCTACCTACCTACCTACCTACCTACCTACCTACCTACCTACCTACCTACCTACCTACCTACCTGCCTACCTACCTACCTACCTACCTACCTACCTACCTACTTACCTAGCTAGGCAGCATCATTTTAACTACAGGCGGCATAGACATATATGACGATGTCAAAGCCAGCCAGGATCGGATAGACAGCGAGACAGGCCTTCCTTCATTAATGTGAAATCAGTGTGGAGATCTACTGCACACAGCATAAAACGTGAACGAGATCCGGATTTTCAACACTAATCTCAGTCAAGTAAGTCAGTGCTTCTGTGTGATGGTTGAGAGAGTTGATGCATTACGAAAAGCATTTCCAACAGACTACAGACACTCACCAACAGCTGCCTACTCTTGCTGGTGAAGGTGGAGATGAGATGAGATGGTCCGAAGGAGTAAGCAAGAAGGAGCCCTATCCTGGTAATGAACCAACGAAGAAGGTGTCGCCCAAGAAATATGTAGTAGATGAAAGTGGAGATGGATTGAATTGGATTGGATTGGGCATATACTGAGAAGACCATTTGAGGATATGACGTGCCAGGCGATGTTGTCGAGTGGAATCCAAGTGGTAGATGACTAGTTGGGCGTCGGAGGCGAGGGTGACATGGAGGAGATGATGTGAGGAAGAAATGGAAGCTTGTGGGTAATCATGGAGCCATGTTTTGAGGACTGGAGAGGAGAGAGTGAAATGGTGACGTTCTAATGAATCTCTATGCTCCACTAGGATCCCAAGCGACAATAACAGTAACTCAGCTCCTGCTAACTGTTGCTAAGGCATATATGAAATCGACTGAGATGTTTTGTTTGGAAGTGTAAGCGATAGAAAAAGGTGCTTGTAAGCAAATACTGGGTAATTACTGATTCCAACTGTCACGTGGACCTCAAACTGGAAGTTAACATTACTGTTAGCCTGGTTTAGAATGACAGTCAAAGTCTTCGTAGACTAGATGCCACATCACTTGAGATGTAACAACATACGTTTTGCAGGTCAAAGGAAAATTACATTGTGAAGATTTAGATGGGAAAATTTAATTGAAATAGATGAATTAGGACGTCACTATGTGTGAAATAAGAAAAAAAGCAGTAAGTCCTACAAGAAGCTGGGCACCAGTGTTATGTCTCAATTCATTATTATTTCATTAAATTCTCGTCCTCCAACCGTCTCATCCCTCCTACTTGGCCTTTTGAACTTATATACATCTGTTTTGTTACACTGCATAAGCTATTTTTATTTGTATTACATGTGTATACGGAGTGTACTCAAACCATGTTAAACGTCTCAACCAAAATGCATAACTATTACTATTTCTTGAGATGCAAGAGGTGATTATCGTACCTCAGTGGCCTAGTGGATAACGCTTCGACGTTTAAAGCAATGTGTATGAGGTTTGAGTCTCAGTGAGAACAACATCGCTCACTGGGGTGCAGGTATACCTAGCTGGTAAATCCCAAATCGGACGAAAGGCGCGTCCTGAATTCCCATTGCTATCCACAGTTAAGGTTGTAACCACATGTATATGTTTGTCTACAGTGAACAAAATATCTCTTCATGATGTTGCTGATATCATTCCATTGTTGATTGAAAACAATATCACTCACTAGGAGGCAGGTACATCTTATCTGCAACCTCAAGGGGAATGATGTCCTATCGGAGGTTTGAACCTTGCTTCATCCAACCCTGCAGCCAAAGAGGTTATTACTGAGTTACTCAGGCCGTAATTGATGTCCTTGTAAAGTGTTCGGTTGAATTTGGTCGGTATCTAAAGCTAGATCATATGGAATCAATTACTGTCTAGGAAGTCAATTGCGGTGAAAATAGAGCTCAGTGGTAACATCTTTGACTGTATCACTTAGGGTAGGGATGGTAGGTTGAATTTCTAAAGAGACATGAGTTCCGTCAAGGAGGTGTGTACCCTTTATCAATGAGTGTCAACAAGCACGAAAGTTAGGACTTCCTGTCAATTTCCTTCAACCAACTAACCGACACTATCAAATACCAAAAACCTTGATGGTTTAAAATAACTTCGATGCAGTATTATTGCATGGTACAATGTTATCACGAAAGATCTCTATAACTCTGAAGACGGACAGGCAGAATCAACCTAGAACTTCACATATATGTGCTGCATCACTTTAAGTTGCTACACATCTCAGTCAAAGTTGCGTGAGAGGATAAACAATCTGAAGATAACGGTTAGTGCAAATATTCAAGCTTTAGAAGATGTCAGAGCGTGAATGCATCTGCGCCATTGTGACCGATTACCAGCTATGTCAATAAGAATCTTCAACCATTGATTTTCTTCTCAGTGACCTCAACCAGGCAGTCTACATCTCCAACACACGGCTCAGACCAACAGTTAGAGACTTTATTGACTGATGCCAGGTCTCGATCTCGCCAATATGAACCCTTTTCTATCCTAATCCAAGTTCATGTAGCATAGCTCGTTGAGGTAGGTGGTGACTCGGTATATGCCACACATGTCTGAAACTATTATTATTATTATTAGTCCCTTGGGTTCCTAGTGGAACATAGGGCTTCAGTAGCACGCCTCCAGTGACCTCTGTTCTCTGAGATCTTTTGAACCTGGTTCCACGACAGCCCAGAAGCTCTCATTTCCTCCTCGCATGACCTCCTCCATGTCACCCTCGGACGTCCAACTCGTCGCTTCCCATGGGGATTCCACTCGAGGGCCTGACGCGTGATGTCCTCAGTCGGCCTTCTCAGTGCATGGCCAATCCATCTCCACTTCTTCCTGCATATTTGTTGCGTGATAGGTTCTTGGTTGGTTCGTTCCCAGAGTTCCTTGTTGCTTATTCTTTCTGGCCATCTGATCTTCAGCAGCGAGCGTAAGCAGTTGTTGATGAATGTCTGTAGTTTATTGGAAATCCCTTTCGTGACGCGCCAAGTCTCTGAGCCATACAAGAGCACTGACTTGACGTTGGTGTTGAAAATCCGTATCTTGTTCCAGATGCTGAGTGCAGAAGATCTCCACACTGGTTTCAGGCTAATGAACGCCTGTCTTGCTTTTCCGATTCTGACTTTGACGTCCTCGTTTGTGCCACCTGTAGTTGAAACAGTGCTTCCTAGATAAGTGAAGGAGGTTACTTCCTTCAAGTTTCTCCCGTTGACGGTGATTGGAGTTTGTTGTTGTTGATGGTGGTGGTGCGGTATCTTCATCACTTCTGTCTTCTCTATATTCACCTGAAGTCCCGTCTTCGCTGCCTCTTCTGTCAACTTGTTAGTTTTGGCCTGCAGATCTTCAAGTGTCTGAAACTATACAATAAAGAAATTCGGAACCAAGGCGAACGATGAGATAAAGACGGAAGATAAACAATTGTTCAAGGCAAAATAGAACATCAAGGAACAAATAAAGAAATTAAAAGAGTACCATGAATTATGAAAGATATTGATATCTATGGATGTTAAACGGTGGACCAGATACAATGGAACAGAATGAACAGTCAAGACTGTAGGTGAAGCCACATTATAAAGGAAACATGAACTGTACTACTCAAAAATAGTAAATAGTATAAAAGCAAAGATAAAAAGGGGAAAGGGGACATCCCACAGGGTAAACGTGAACAAGTAAGAAAGGAATCAACCATACGTATATGTTTTCTTTAAACCAATCCAAAGTTTATTAATATTGTTTCTTGTTGTTTTGTCCTTTCATACGTATAAAAAATTATAGGATAAATATGGCCGAACATTGATTTATTTAGCTGCCTGTCGTGGACATATTGAAGTGGTGAATTATTTATTATGCCATTCAGCTGATATACATATACCGAATAAGGAGAATAAATCACCGTTGTATATTAGCGCATATTTTGGTTATTTAGAGATTACTAATGCATTACTACGTCATGGTGCCCAGGTAAACATTGATTATATACATATGTGATAATTGTTCAGGGTTGTCGCTGAGCTTTGAAGTCTGTCCTTAGAGGTTTTATCACCAGGCCAGGTGACTTCGATCAGTGCCTAAAGCGCTGACGATGAAATCTTCAAGAACAAACTTCCAAGCTGAAGGAACACTGAACGGTTATCATTCTTATTCTTGAGCTATAAATCTTGTCTACTAAACACACATACGTTGTTCAAGTAGCCAGTCAATGTACAATGGTTTTATTATCTGTGGATAGATTTCTTGTTCTAGTTTGAT